CTTGTTAGAACAGAAAATAACCACCAGGGAACGTGTCGGCAGGCCCATGTTGCAATAATCTAGGTTCCAGAGGACAGAAAACAGAGCTGTCTACTTGTGGGCCAGGTAACTCCAAGAGTGTAAAGTAATGAATTTCACAGGAAGCCAAGATATCCTTAGCTGTAGCTGTGAGCAGGAACCACAGCATCCTGGGACCACACAGTCATTTCTTCCTACATTAAGGGCTGTTCCTTGTCTTTTTCACTATCTTTTCAAAGATTTACTTTACTACTTTATTTATGTGTATATAGGTGTTCATGAGTCTGTGTGCATCACAACATAGACTGGCCTGTGGAAGCCAGAAGAGAGGGTCAGATCCCCCGGAATTAGAGTTACAGCTGGTTCTAATCCACCCAGCGTGGGTGCTGGGAACCCAACCCAGCTCCTCTGCAAGAGCACTGAGGGCTCTTTAACCACTGAGCAGTCTCTCCAGCCCCTTCTTCCTTTTCCTGAAGTGCCTGTTCTAGGCCAAGTCTTTGGGGAAAAAGGGGGCTTCAGACGTTACCCAAGAACAGAGTCCCAGTGTTGAGATCAGTTCTTTAAGTACAGCAGCGGATAAACAGTGGCTCTCCTAGCCATTTGTATTCCACCCTACTCAGTGACCCTCTGTCAAAATGACTATCGGAGGGAGCTGGACAGATGGCTCAGCATTTAAGAGCACTGGCTGCTCCTTAAGAAGACCTGCACTTGAGTACCCATATCATGACTCACAACTGTCTGTAACTCCAGGTCCAGGATCCAGCGTCCTCTCCTGGTCTCCAGGAGCACTGAATGCACATGGTGCACAGACATACATGCAGGCAAAAGACTCACACACTAAATAAATAATATTTTAATGACTGTGAGGTGTCTTTGTCTCCTGACAGTCTTTAGGCAGTCAGGTCACAGCACTCCACTATGGAGCCTGAGCCCTGGCTACATAATCAAATGTGAAGATGTCGAAACATTTGACAACATTAGTTTCTGAGCATGCAGCAGCCAAAGACTTAAACATCAAACAAATAACGAAGGTGTTTCTTGTTGAGTCGCCTGCCTTTATGCAGCCCTTGTTCTGAGCTCACAAGGCACACTCCGAACTGCCCTGCATCACATCTTACCGTGCCAGCAAACACCACCTAAGCTCAAATTTGAGACTATTGTATGTAAGGGATTTCATGTTTTCCTGTATATGCAAATTTTCTTCCCATATAGAAAAATAAAGGCTTAATTACAGGAAACAGAGACTCAATATTTTTCTACCATCATTCCTCAGCATGTGTCAGGTTTATGTGTTAGACTGTATTCAAATGATTAATGATTTTATTCATTTATTGATTTGACTGGTCTGCCTCTGCCCCAGTGCTGGAATTACAGGTGTACACCTTTACATCCTACTGTAAATGATGAGTTCATGTTTTCTCTTTGGTGCTGGGATTAAATCTAGAGCTCCTCTCATACTAGACCAGTGCTCACTCACTGACCTGTACCACCAGCCCTCTTACACAGGGCTTAGGTTTTGTTTGTTCAGAGTTTTGGATGCTGTTGTCGGTACTGCAGTGCTGTTGTTGTTGGTACTGCAGTGCTGTTGTTGTTGGTACTGCAGTGCTGTTGTTGTTGGTACTGCAGTGCTGATGTTGGCACTGCAGTGCTGTTGTTGGTACTGCAGTGCTGATGTTGGCACAGCAGTGCTGTTGTTGGTACTGCAGTGCTGTTGTTGTTGGTACTGCAGTGCTGTTGTTGTTGGCACTGCAGTGCTGTTGTTGGTACTGCAGTGCTGTTGTTGGTACTGCAGTGCTGTTGTTGGTACTGCAGTGCTGTTGTTGGTACTGCAGTGCTGCTGTTGTTGGTACTGCAGGGCTGTTGTTGTTGGTACTGCAGTGCTGATGTTGGCACAGCAGTGCTGTTGTTGGTACTGCAGTGCTGTTGTTGGTACTGCAGTGCTGATGTTGGCACAGCAGTGCTGTTGTTGGTACTGCAGTGATGTTGTTGGTACTGCAGTGCTGTTGTTGGCACTGCAGTGCTGTTGTTGGTACTGCAGTGCTGTTGTTGGCACTGCAGTGCTGTTGTTGGTACTGCAGGGCTGTTGTTGGCACTGCAGTGATGTTGTTGGTACTGCAGTGCTGTTGTTGGCACAGAAGTGATATTGTTGGTACTGCAGTGCTGTTGTTGGTAATGCAGTGCTGTTGTTGGTACTGCAGTGCTATTGGTGGTGGTACTGCAGTGCTGTTGTTGGTACTGCAGTGCTGTTGGTGGTGGTACTGCAGTGCTGTAGTTGTTGGTACTGCAGTGCTGTTGTTGGTACTGCAGTGCTGTTGGTGGTGGTACTGCAGTGCTGTAGTTGTTGGTGCTGCAGTGCTGTTGGTGGTGGTACTGCAGTGCTGTTGGTGGTGGTACTGCAGTGCCGTTTGTGGTGGTACTGCAGTTCTGTAGTTGTTGGCACTGCAGTGCTGTAGTTGTTGGCACTGCAGTGCTGTAGTTGTTGGTGCTGCAGTGCTGTTGTTGGTACTGCAGTGCCGTTGGTGGTGGTACTGCAGTGCTGTAGTTGTTGGTACTGCAGTGTTGTTGGTGGTGGTACTGCAGTGCTGTAGTTGTTGGTACTGCAGTGTTGTTGGTGGTGGTACTGCAGTGCTGTAGTTGTTGGTACTGCAGTGCTGATGTTGGTACTGCAGTGCTGTTGTTGTTGGCACTGCAGTGCTGTTGTTGATGGCACTGCAGTGCTGTTGTTGGCATTGCAGTGCTGTTGTTGGTACTGCAGTGTTGTTGGTACTGCAGTGTTGTTGTGAAAGACCCTAACCCTTCAGGCTTATACCCCCAAGCCCCAAGAAATGAGAAACTAAAAATCTAGTTCCAAGGGCAAGCTGACTCAATCATTATTCAACCACCCCTGCAACAATGTAACAGTGTAAAAAGATTTCTGTTAAGAGATGTGCTCAACTGTGACTGGGATAGTTGGAAATGTTCCAGGAAGGACCACTGTGACCTTTGTGTAAACTCCACTCCCGCCCTGATACCCCCCCTTGAGGTTTTGGGAAGAATGTACATGTGGACGTGACTGTACCCACTCTGTGATCAGACCATGATCTTGTAAAATGAAATTGTATGGGAACTGTAATCTTATGGCCTTTGTGGGTTTTTCCTTTAAGAGTGCCCATGTGATTGCAATAGGTGCGACTCTTGCTCTTTGGAGCTGAGTTAGCCCGACTGTACAGCTGCTTTAATAAACACCTCTTGCTGTTGCATCAACTGGATCGGAGTCTGGGTTCTTGGGGCGCCCCCTTGAGAAGATAGTACCCTGGGTCTGGGGTCTGTCAGTTGGTACTGCATGCTGTTGTTGGTACTTCAGTGCTGGGGATCGAACCTCCTGCCTTGACATGGTAGGCAGATGCCATACCATGGGGGTATTTCTCAAAACCCCCAGAGACCACCAAGGAGCCAGTTTCCGATGCAAGCACACAAGGGTCCTTTTATTCAGGCTCAACCTGGGCCACTGCAAGGCAGATGGAAGGAAATGTGGACAGCCATGAGCTCAGGTGTAGAGGGTTTTTATAGGGAAAAACCACAAGTTGGGAATTGGCAACTTGGGATTGGGTAGAAGGGATATGGGGCAAAGTGATTTTTTGAAACTATTGATCTAGACTTTGGGTGCGAAACCACATTTGAAACCATTGGGTTAGACTTTAGGCGGGGAACCACAACCTATTGAACAGGATTATCTGGACTGCTCAGCAGGATTATCTAGACATCTTCAAGGGCCAGAAACCGCAGACAGGATGTCTGCAGGAGCATACAGCCCTGTATCCACTTGAGTTGTCATGGCACATTCCTGAGGTCCTTCCTGGAACTGAGTACAGCAGGTGGTCTGAGATGGTGGCCCTTTCCCTAAGATGGAGCCTGTAAAGTCAAGTCTAGGCCTTCACAATAGCCTAGTCCCAAATGTTTGATTTGCTGCCTTGAATTTCACAGAATAAAATAAAGTCATTAAGTGAATTTTTGACTTGGGGAAAAAAGAATTTCCAACAAGCACTGGAATGGCCCTAAATATACATCAACCATTTTGTATTATGTATTTCTGTGAAGCAACGTTCTCAGCTTTGATGATTATGAAATCAAAATACCAGCCAACTCTGAAAAATGTTGAAGATGCTCATGTCTTGAGGTGAGCTGACATTTAGTTCCTCAGGCAAAAATATACAGGCTCATATATGTGCATCAGTACACAAATCTGCTTTTCATTGTTAATGAACAGTAAAATGTTTTGCTTTGGTTTTCTGCGGCAGGGTCATGTCCTAGGCTGGCCTTGACCTCCCTGTGTAGTCCAAGGATGACAGTGGACTCCTAACCCCCTGCCTCCACCCCCAAGTGATGGGTATATAGGAGTGCACCACCACACCTGACTTCAAAGAACTGTTTTAAAATTAATTTCTTCTGACTAACAGTAAATGTTGGATTTATATACTTATACACCAAGGTCCCAGTTGAAAACTGTTAAAAGCGGAAAAAAGTTGAAGCAGCCAACACTCTGCAGTTCAGGATCCGTAAGCTGAGACCTCCTGCTGGTAGCCAGCGATCCCTGCAGGCCGCTCACCCGGAACATGCTATTTAGGGCTCTCAGAACTGCAGGAGTTCTTTTGTTATTGGTGAATCCTGTGTTCCTATCACTTAAGGCCCTCATCCTCCGATAAACAGGTACTGAGCCAGATGCAGCAGGCAGGCAGAGACAGGTACCAACTAAGCTCAGCCTTGGTCAAAGAAAGGGTTGACACCGTCCTACAAACGCGGGTGCCCTGGGTGACTGCCTGCCACACCTACGCTTCTGAGTCAGGGAAGGCCCTGGAAGGACGCTGTCTTAGGGTGGAAGGGTGTGCCTGAGGTACCGGGAGAGGGGGGAGGAGGAGGAGGAGGAGAAGGAGGAGGAGGGGGAGGGGGAGGAGGGGGAGGAGGGGCAGGAGGAGGTGGAAGTGGAGGTGGTATTGGTGAGGTCACGTGACTGAATGCAAAGGGGGGCGGAGTCCAGGCACCAGGACGCTGCCTGGTCGCATAGCAACGGCTCAGCACGGAAACATGAACACTGCGGGTAACCGGGAGCTTCAGGCCAAGGAATATTTAGAAAAACATCGAATAATGGAGCTGCTGAGCCAACTCACTAGCTTCCTCCTCTTTGTCCGACCAAGTAAGGGTCTTGCCTCCTTTGGCTTTCTGTCTACCTCCGCCCCGGCAAAGGGTCCCCAAACCCTGTCCTCCCCACTCACTCCATTCCCTGCCTCCAGACGAGTCCTGCTGTCGGCTGAGTCTGTGACCCCCGCCCGCCCCACCGGTCAAACAGGATAAATGACCTCTAGCCGCCAGCTCCCTGCCGCGGGGAGGCTGGGAGAGGGCTCAGCGGGTGGCAGAGCCCAGCTCTAGTTAAGAGTGCTTGGGAAACGCAGAACGTCAGTCTCCTCTTCCGGAAAATGGAGATAATAGTACTGATCTCATGAGAATGGGGGAGTGGGCGGATATAAAATGAATTACAGCTAACCCAACCTTGGCTGGGCAAGCAACAGATCTTTTCAATTCCAAGGCGTCTCTAATTTAGTAAGAGGGCTAAATAATTGATAGCCTGAGCTGCGGGATCCTCCTGGGGAGTCGTTTTTCTTTGGCATTTTAATACATTAGACCCTTTCAAAATTTGGGTTATTTCACAATTTTCGGTGATGTACGGTAAGAACTTACGTTGAGATGAAAATGGCATTGCATCCCTAAAATAACTGGAGCCCGCCAGCCTTCATAATGAATGTCTAAAATTCCAAAATGTCCATTTACTTCAGTGGAAAGAAACAGAAATACCATCCCAACCTGGAAAAGACGGAAACTAGTATGACCTCCTAGGGGATGAGAAAAGTCTTTTGAAATATTTTATTTTAAAAATGTATTTATTTTAAACATGTATAGGTGTTTTGCCTGCATATATGTCTGTGCATCATGAGCATGCCTGGTGCCCGAGGAGGTCAGAAGAGAGTGTCTGGAGTTACCTGTGGTTCTGATCCATCATATCAGGGCTAGTACCTGAACTAGGTCCTCTTCAAGGACAAGTGCCAGTAGCCACTGACCTATCTCCTCTTGCCATTAAATTTAAAACACAAATTTAGTACAGCCAATGTTCAGAACTTAAATGCTATTTTTAGACAAATGTCTACAGCTAATTGTGTGTATGTGTGTGTGCAATATGCTTGGATTACATTTTCTTTGTTTTTTCCTCCAAAGTTAATAATTCTGTGTTTTTAATTTTTGCTCAGTTTTCTGTGTATCACTAATTCTTCCACATACATCTCTACCTGTATATATATATACACACACATATATATACATGGGTAGCTCCACATGTATCGTTCCTCTCAGCAGGTAACTGTCATTTCTAACAACCCTAGTCTAATGTGACCAATTACTAACTCACACGTTGCCTGAGGTCCCAGTCTGCACTGGTGTGTCCGGATTGTTCATCTTGTTCAAAGTATTAGAGAAGCACTCAGAACAGAAAGAAGCTAAGGATTTTATTCAGAAGCAAACAGAGTACAGGCCAGATAGAGCCAGAGAGCACTGGGCTCTGAGTGAGTCACCCAAGAGCCATTCGTTACTTTCTAAGGTTTCTTTTCCATTTCAAAAGAAGGGTAAACTAGAGTGTAAATAGTTTTCTGATTTTCTCTTCCTTCATTTTGAAATGATGGGTATCATTCATTCATTCAGTGCACACATGTGTGCAAGTGTGTGAAGGTTCGAGGGTAGCTTGAGGAGTCTGTTCTCTCCTGCTCTGGAGTCCTGGGATCAGACCAAGGCCATCCATCTCAGTCGCAGGTCTGTTCTTAATGACAGGCTTGGTTATGTAAACCTTTGTTTACTGTATGTTCCTATATGGTGCTTCTAATTTTAATCATACACACTTGCAATTTCGAATATGTGTAAGATGGCAAATATGGGTTTTCTGCAAGTTTGCTTTGAGGATACGTGTGCCTAGCTGCTCATGCACCCAAGTCTAGATGGACAAACCCACTACATCTAGTTTCACGATGTATTTGACCACAAAAGAAGAATTCCCAAAGCTTACAATGGAACTTATAGTTCAGAATGACCTAACTGCCTTTGTTACGTGCAGCTCAGTGATGGTGGGGTCACAGGTTGCTAAGTGCATTTTTGTGCTAAGTATTTGTTTGTAAAGGGGTGTGTGTGTGTGTGTGTGTGTGTGTGTGTGTGCATGCGCGCGCATGCATGCATGCATGCGTGCAGATAATGACAGGATTACCTGTAATAGAGATAAAAGCAAACATGATAATGTATGCCTGTGATCCCAGTACTCAGGAAACTGAGACAAGAGAATTTGCATCTGAGGTCAGCCTGGGCTACATAGTGAGCTACAAGCTAGCCTGGGATATACAGCAAGACATTATTTCAAAATACACGCACACACACACACACACACACACACACACACGAGGGACTGGGAATGCAGCTTAGCAAGTAGAATGCTTGCCCAGCATGCATGAGGCCCGGGGTTCGATCTCCAATACCATGTAAACCACTTACAATAACATCTATACTCCCAACTCTGCATGGAGGCAGGAGGACCAGGAATTCAAATCCAAAATACAAACATAAATAAATACTTGTGGTACTTCTTGAAACATCTATCTTAGTTAGGGTTAAACACCAAAGCAATTTGGGGAGGAAAGGGTTTATTTGGTTATGCTTCCAAACCATAGTTCATCATTGAGGGAAGTCACGACAGGAACTCAAGTCTGGAGGCAAGACCTGATGCAAAGGCCATAGAGGGGTCCTGCTTACTGACTTGCTCCTCATGACTTGCTCAGCCTGTTTCCTTATAGAACGCAGGACCACCAGCCCATCTTATGGAGGCATTTTCTCAACTCAGGTTTTCTCCTCTCAGAAGACTTTAGCTTGGGTCAAGTTGACAAAAACTAGCCAGTACACATCTTTGGTTGGTTTGTTTTTAGAGACAAGGTTTCATATCCCAGGCTGACCTAACACTTCCTAGGTAGCTGAGACTTGCCTTGAACTCCTGATCCTTCAGCCTCTATTTCCTCAGTGTGGCTTTATAGGCATACACCATCACACTTAGCCTTAAATGCTATTCAGAATACCATTTGTAGACAAGCTGGAAACTGAATACTACCGACCTACATAAAGATACTAAAAATAATTTTTTGGACGTATGAAGTATATTGTGATCACAGTACTGTTGAAATATGAAAAACACAAAGAGTCTTTATGATGGTTAATTCCAGTTGTTAGCTTGATGAGGTCTAGAACCATCTGGGAGATGGGCCCCTAGCATGGGCTGTCTTGATTAGACTAATTGGGATGGGAGAGCCTGTCCACAAGTGACACCATTCCCATGGTTAGGATCTTGGACACATAAAAAGGAGAAAGAGAGGTGAGCAGAAGCACTCACCTCTGCTTCCTGCCGGTGGACACACTGTGACCAGCTTTTGCCATCTGAGCCACTCCATCTCATGTCCGACTTCTGCCATGACTGTCTCATTATTTTTGGAAAGTTGATTGGGTTTTCTGCTTTTAAAATCAGTTCAATAGAAGAGCCTGATGATCCAGAGCACTGCTTCTATGTCAGACACAAGCATGCTGCCTCATCAGGAGACTGTGTCTGTCTAAGACAGTCTCTGTTCCCCGTGTCTTAGCTGGCCAGCTTTCTCCCTGCATCATGCCACCCCTCTGTCTTTCTGGTTTCCATCCCTGTCTGCAAATCCGATCATCTGGGGAGCTTAAAAGCATCTCAGGTCCAGTCCCTGGACTGTAACACTCAGCCCTCTGAGGCGGAGCACTACTGAGTTCAGCTGCGGAAGTGTTCTCTGCTGTGGTGTAAGTTTCCTGGAAGCAAGGCCTGCGCCCTGAGTGCCTGGAGTGTACTACTTGTGACAGGCTTTCATTTCATATAAGAGTGAGTCTCAACTGTTTATTTGCAGAAAAACCGAGAGAGTATTTGATCTCTCTTCTGGAACGGCTGAAAATCGCCAAGGTAACAGGCGTGTCGTTTCCCTTCTTCATGGACAACTCTAACATTGTGTCAATGTTTGAGATGATGGACTCATCTGGCAGAGGCTGCATATCATTTGTGCAGTATAAAGAAGGTCAGTGTGGCCTACACCAAGGAAGGCCATTCGGTAACTTTCTCTAGCCAGAAATAATTCCATTTTGTACATTTTCTTTTCTTCTCATTGTCACTTTTGCAGCTCTAAAAAACTTGGGTCTATGTACTGCAGATGAAGTTTTGAATGATGATGGACGTAGAATAACTTTGGATAAATTCAGAGATGAAGTGTAAGTTTTTTTAGTATTTTAATAACATGGTATGATTTTGAAGTATTAGCACCATTGTATATCGAGCACCACTACTTTTTCTTGTGTGTGTGTGTGTGTGTGTGTGTGTGTGTGTGTGTGTGTGTGTGTGTGAGATATGTGTGCATGCATGTGCCATGGCACACATGTGGAGGTCACAGCAACCACAGGTGTCAGTTCTCACCTTGTCTCCTGCTGTTTGCTGCTGCGCTGTGCACCCCAGGCTAGCCCGCAACCCTGGTACAGGAGCCTCTGTCTCTACCTTGCATCTCTCTGTAGGAGCAGAGTTCACCCCGCTGTGCCGGCTTTTACGTGGGTTCTGAGGATTCAAACTGAGGTCCCCACACTTGCACAGCAAACACTTTACCTACTAAGCCATCCCGCCACCTTTTGGGTGAAATATTTTATTTCCTTTAACTTTCAGTAATTATGTAGTAAAAGCAGGGACAACTCACCCTGGGGAAGAAGAGGGGTGATGATAGAGTTGGAGAGGAAGTTCTAGAAGTAGCCTCATTCTTTTCTCATTAGGAAACTTCATCACTGTGGGGTGTGTTGGAGCACGCCTTTAATCCCAGCAGACAGGAGGCAGAAGCAGGCATATCTCTGTGAGTTCAAGGACAACCTGATCTATCTAGTGAATTCCAGGACAGGCAGGGCTACATAGAGAGACCCTGTCTCATTTAAATAAAAAAAGGAAACCTCATCAGTTCTCAAACATGAGATGAGGAGGCCGTTCTACTAGAATTACTAAAACTCTCAGCTCCATGCAGTAGTTGGAAAATCTCTTTATAAAATATAGTGTAAGGCCAATGAGATGGCTGAGTGGGTAAAAGTATTTCCTGTGCAAGCCTGGCAACCAGAGTTTGATCCTCAGGACTCACATAAAGGTGGACAGGGAGAACTGGTGACACAAAGTTGTCCTCTGGTGTCCACATGCATGATGACACTCCCCCACTCACATCCTACAGATGCACACAGTCATAATTCTAGATTGATGTGACTTTAAATAGTAGAGCAGGCATGGTGGTGCATGCTTGGAATCCCAGTATGTTGGGGGAAGTGGCAGGAGAGTCATGAGTTCAATGCCAGCCTGTGTTGTAAAGCAAGTCAATCTCAGCCTCTCTCTCTGAGAAAATAGAATAGAATGTGTCCTAAAGTATTTTATCAAACTGCCGGGCGGTGGTGGCGCACGCCTTTAATCCCAGCACTCGGGAGGCAGAGCCAGGCGGATCTCTGTGAGTTCGAGGCCAGCCTGGACTACCAAGTGAGTCCCAGGAAAGGCGCAAAGCTACACAGAGAAACCCTGTCTCGAAAAAACCAAAAAAAAAAAAAAAAAAAAAATTACTTCCTGCAAAGTAAAGATCAACAATGTAGGCTACGTGCAAGCCTGACCATTAAAGTTTTTTGAGATTTTATTTTTATTTTATGTGCGAGTGTTTGCCTAAGTGTGTCTTTGCACCACATGCGTGTAGTGCCCATGGAGGACAGACAAGGGTGATGCATCCCATGGGACTGGAGTTACAGCCTCTTGTGAATGACCAGGTGTGTGCTGGGCATTGAACCCAGGTCCTCTGGAGGAGCAGCCTCTTAGCAGTTGAGCTATCTCTCCAGCCCTGAGCCTGACAATTTCAGACCGAGATACTACAGCATTGAGATTACTAAATAACTGCCTTGTCAGAAAAAAATAGAAAAAAAATAATGTAGAAATCTTCTAGCTAATTAAGCTCAATTTGTGTAAAAGCTTATTCTCTGAGGATTTATGAATCAAGGGATCATTACTTTGGCTAGGGATGTTGGTGGAACTCTTGCCTTGCACGAGCAAGACTCTGAGTTTGATCTCTAGTACCACGCACACACAAAACCTATTACTTTACATAGCCCAAGACCAAAGAAATGTTAGAAGGAAGAAGAGAGTTTAGGATTTTTGTCTCAGGTCAGGGAGATGGCTCAGCTGGCAAAGGGCTTGTGACATAACTATGAGGACCTGAGATCAAATCCCCAGCCCCGTGAGAAGCTGGGTACAGTTGCACATGTCTGTAACCCCGTACTGGGGCAAGCAGATCTAGTAAATCAATGATCCATGTTCACTGAGACCTTGTCTCAAAAAATAAGGTGAGAAGCAATTGAGGAAGTCACTCAATATCAACCTCAGGCCTCCACTTGCACAGACTCAAATACACACACACACACACACACACACACACACACACACACACACACACACACACATACACAGGGTTTTATTTCATCGTCTACATAAATATTACCACAGGCAAATGACTAGAGCAGTATCTGGTGTCTAAAATGTTTCAACCAGAGAAAAAAGATTGCCATCGTCACAAGAAATGGAATCAGGAAGGGCTGGGGAGATGCCTAGTGGTAAAGGGTAAAGTACTCACTGTTGACAGGCGAGCATGACGAGTTCATGCTCTAGAACCCACGTAAAAACCCTGATGGTTTGCACTTGGAAAGCCTATGTAGGGGAGGCAGAAACAGAAGTAACCCTGGGGTTTGTCCAAAGTCACAGTGAAAGACCCTGTCTCCAAACAAGGTGGACATCTTGAGGAACAATAGCCAGAGTTGACCTCTGACCTCTACACACACACACACACACACACACACACACACACACACACACACACACACACACAAGTATATCCCACACATGCACAAATACACATAAATACCTGCACATGAACATACACACAACTACAACTAAGAAACACTCTAAATGGAAGGACATAAGAATTGAATATTAGGAACAACCATAGCTTAACCACCATCTCCTAAAACTGTTGGTTTTTTGTTTGTTTTTGTTTTTGTTTTTCTGGTGAGATAGAATCTCACTGTGTTGCCCAGGTGAGTCTTAACCCACAGTGGTCTTTTGCTTCAGAGTGCTGGAATTATAGGTGTTTTCCACCACTCCCAGCTCACAGTATATTTCTTATATAAACATATTGAATTCCCAAAATGGATACAGGAAGCTCACTTACTAACACACATCCATAAGTAAGTATTTCTACAGTGTATTGGCGGTGTTTGGCTTTCGACAGCAATCCCCTTGATTAGCAAAGTGGAGGCGAGCTGTGACTGACCTTTGCTCTCACACTGTCTTCAGACGTCTGCATTCCCATTTGAAATTCCTAATGTGTAATTACTCTGCTTCTCACAGCTGGGTTTTCTGTTCTTTGTTTTCTTAGGAACAGGAGGATGGAGGAAGTATGGTCATCGTTTTAGTGACATTGAAACTCAAGATAATAAATGATTCTACCAAGTTTTCATTTGCCTAGTGTCATTAATTCAGAACTTTATCAGACAACTTCAATCCATTGTCTTCTTTGCTAAACAACCCTTTTCTCAAAGATGCTTTGTTTTCCAGTGTTGAACCAGTTTGCCCTCAAGTTGAGTAGAATTTCAACATATTTCTGAGCCAGTTTGTAAATTCCAACTTCATTTAAGGCTGCTGTGGCAGGAAGGCGCTCAGAAGCTGACTGCAGGACATCTTTCAGGAGTAATGCAGAGCCCGTGTTCAAATTCAGAACGATGCAGGCTGCTTTTACACTGTTTAGGAAGACAAGAAGAAAGAAGAGGAGAGATCACTATGCATAATGTACATTTTAAAGCAACAAATTTTTGACAAATGTTCTCATGTTTATAACTATACTTAATATTAAATACTTAATAATTATAACCAAAATTAATGTTAAATTTATGAGAAAACTAATTTTCCTCTGGTCTGGGCTATTGTTAGGCACTAAACCTAGCTGTGATTTCTTGTTTTCTGTGAGTGGCAGAATTATACCTGCATTCATTTTCTATTTACTCTCCTAGTAATAAGCAAGTAGCATTGAGCCAGATGCTAGGAAGCATGTCTAACATATAGTTTATACCTGGTTCTGGTCAGTTTTCTGGATCACACCTATTGTTTTGGTTTCCCTATTATGTTTTGAAAATATAATACCTTCACAATGAATGTTTTAAGGTTTTATTTTATTTTAGATTTTTAAATGTTATTTTATGTGCATGTTTTGCATGCATATATGTCTGTGTGTCTGGTGCCTATGGAGACCAGATGAGGCTATCAGATACCCCAGAACTGGAGTTACGGGCGGTTGTAAGCCACCATGTGAGTGCTGAGAACCAAATCCTGTTGGACCCTCTTGCTGGTCAGAGGTCGAAATCTATCGTATCCTGGCAGTTTTTTTTTTTTTTTTTCAAAGCTTGACATGGGGACTTCCTCCCTCGAAGTGAGACTTCCTGCTCTCTACCTGCCCTTATCTGGAGAATGTCCCTGGGCCCGGAGGACTGACCTTGTCTGAAAGCTGTGTCTAAGCCTGGATGCCTGATTTCTCTCTAGCATGGCCCTTGGCACAGTCTCCCACTAGAAGCCTCCACTGCTGCCCATATGGTAACTAAGACTTGTACTAGGAGCTCTGCTATAGGACCCTGCTGCCACACACACAGCCTTATGACAGGACCATGCTACTTAATCACATTAAGGTTTATCCCCAGGATTCCCAATCCTGTATATTCCTTATACTCTGGAAAAAAGTTGAGCTGATTCATCAGAGTCATCTTCCAGAGGGAAATCTCCATCGTACCCACAGCCCACAGAACCCTGTTCCCCGCTTCCACTCCCTCCACCCTTGTGGACCCATGCAGCCAATGATCCCTAGGAAGAAACAGAACCACAAACCCCAGTCCTCCGCAGGAACAGCAAATGCTCTTAACTGTTGAAGTATCTCTCCAGCTCCAGATTTTAATATTACAATAAATATCAATGAAACTCTGAAATTGTTAAAATCTAGCATTTGGATTCACCAAATGTTTACGGTTAGACATTAGGCTTACTGTTTAAATTGGTTTTCCAGTCTCTTGCAATAGTGAGAAAATCAAGGGAAAAGAATCCGTGTCATATCAAACTGCAACTGGGCTGCTCCTCCTTCGTTGAAATGATTAGCAAGGATTATCTGAAACAAAGAGCAATCCACGTAATGGCTGCCTTCATCAGCGCAGCCCCCCACCACCCGCTGACTTACCTCCTGATAGATGTATACATCCAGCTTCTCTACAAGCATTTGCCAGAAGATTCTGAATAAGGAGAAACAAAGCTTCTCTGGCTGAAGCAGATGGTCCCGTAAGGTCAGCAGGAGTGGGCAGGCTGAGCTGGACAGGGACATCACTGCCTGTTCAGACTGAGACGGCAGGGACAGCCATCTGGAAAATAAACAACCTTCACCAAAATGGCATTTATCACTCTGTATCTTTAACAAATCACTTCAAATTTGAGGAGATATTCTGTCCTAGGGGATTCTGGGGTTAAAAAAATAATGCCTAATATTAAAATATATACAGAAATAAATGTATCTATACTTATATTTTAACTTTTAATTATTTAGTATTTCCATTAAAGTCCCCCCAAAGCCCAAAAAAATCTCTAAATTCAATTTTATAAAGTTGAAAATGAAAGTTTATCTTTAGAATTAAAAGTCACCATTTAATCTTATGCTCTGATCTCAGCAAACAAACGAATACTACTTCCAGTTGATTACAGTACTCTATGTGGAGGCACCATGCTAGGGCATAAAGTCAGGAGAGCAAATTATGAAATGCAAGCATGCACAGGGCATCGACTACGGGGCACTTCCTTTGTAAAATGAATGACACGGTGAACTAGGCAACCCCAGGTAACACGCCACTTCTCTGTGAGGGCCACAGCATCACTCATTTATTCTGAGTAAATTCTTCAAAAGAATAGATTTTAGAAATATTTCCATCAAAACCAAAGTTTGGATCTACCATACATGAAACCCCAAGTTTCATTTCCAAAACTGGGGGTGGGTTCTACAAAAGCTAAAATTTGGAGTGTACATGCCACCTTCAACTCTGACTAACTTGTGTAAAGGGTGACACACACAGGACATACCTTTCTTTCTTATACAATTTTGCAGCATCTTTCACTTCTCTAGAAACGTGATCTACTCGACGAGTCAACATATCAAGCTTTAAACGCTCTAAGAGATTAATCATGTCATCGAAGACAGAGCTTCCCATGGAGGCTAGTTGTCCCAGCTGCAGCTTACTGAGGGCAGCATTCTCTGCAAAGACCTCCAGTGCGGCCTGTTGAAGCTGCAGGAAGAACTGAAAGCTGACATCTGTTAGTGAATTTATTAACACAGTGCTGGGCATCTTCAAATGGAACTGTATCATACAATTTCCGAATTTAAGGTGTGCGTTCAGTGCCAGTGAGCCGGCTCTCATGAGCCAAGTCTGATGACCCGAGTTCAAAGTGGAAGAAAACAGTGGGAGGAAACAACTGTAGCCTGCACATGTGTGCCACGGTGAGTTACACACACACACACACACACACACAGAGAGAGAGAGAGAGAGAGAGAGAGAGAGAGAGAGAGAGAGAGAGAGAGAGAGAGAGAGAGAGAGTTTGGCACAGTGACACATATCTGCGATCCTATACTCAAGAAACTGACACTAGAAGATTAGCTTGAATTCAAAGCCAGTGTGGGCTACATGAGTCCCTGTCTTGAAGGTAAAGAAGCATAAAAGCCTTCATCCTCTCCCCCAAAATAAAATGTGCAGTTGGGAAAGGCACCTGTCACCAAGCCTGATGACCTCGTTGGGCCCCTGAGCCCCACATGGTGGAATGACGGAGTTGACCCCAGTAAGTTGGCCTCTGATCTCCACATGTGCTGTGACACACACATGTGCATGCACAAAATAATATTATACTATGATAATATGATAACATAATATATAATAATCATTACACTTCAGTAGCTTTAGTAATTCCCACAATTCCGGAACACTGTCACTGCTTCCCGCAAAAGAATTTCATTCATTGTCCATATCTCCATTTTCTCCACACTCCCTCAACTCCAGGCACTCACTTGTCTACTCTCTCTAGGGGTTTGACAACCCTGGACATTTAAAGTAAATGGAACCATATGAAGTATTATTATTCTTGACCGACTTCTTTTACTTAGTTCCATAGCATGTACTACGTACTTCGTCTGTTTTTATTGCCCCCAAATACTCCATCGTATGAACACACATTTTATTCAGCCACTAGCTGCTGGATGTGTGGATTGTTTCCATTTTGTATCTATTATGCATAATGCTGCTGAGAACAAAAGTGTGTATGGTTTTCTGAAAGAAGTGTTCCCTTTGTCTTTGCCTGTCTGGAGGAGTGGAACTGCTGGATTTATAATTCCATCTTGCTGCCAGGCTGTCTTCCTCAGAGCTGCAGCAGCTTACATCACCACCCACCATATACAGAGGTTTAAAGCTCTCTACATGCACACTGGAAATAGTTTTGTGTGGGTTTGTGGTTTGGGTTTGGTTTGGTTTTTGGTGTTTGTAAAGGTTTTGTTTGTTTTCTTTTTTGCATTGTTTTAAGACTGGATCTCGCTATGTAGTCCAGGCTGGCTTCAAATTAGCAGTCCAGGGTATCTTCAGACTCACAACCATCCTGCCCCAGCCTCCCAAGTGTTTGGCTTACAGTGTTTACCATGGTACTGTGTCGTCTTAGCTGGCCTGGAACTCTGTGCTAGCCTTGAAGATGCGGCAACCTACTTCTCCGAGTCCCCATTGCTCAGATGACAGTGGTGTGCCTCCCCCACTGGTTTCTCTTCCTCACTACAGTCAGTGGTTTCTATTTGTGATAGTGTTTCCTGCTAGTGATCATGCTCCTCCTGTAAGTATCCAGTTTTTCTAGACACAGATTGAAGGTTGACATAAACCTGGAATTATGGTAGCCAGACAACTAAAATGTCATTTTTGCAGTAGTAAACCCAGAGCCGCCTGTGGCCATATGTCCAGGAACTGCCTGAGAATGAATCAGAAATGAACTGCGGGGCAGTCATGCCTGATCTGCTCATTTACACAAATCCCTCACTATCCCCCACCACCCCACACTTAGGTCATTTGGGACTGGATTTCTGTCACCTACAACTGAAAGAAGTTCTGAAGCGTTGGATATTTCAGTCTTGGCGTGACCCAGCAGCAAACAGTTATCAACAGACAATCAGAAACAAACAGAAGGTGAACTGCCGTTGTTTTCCTTTTCTGTTCACGGAATCATGCAGCACAAGGACTTCGGCGATTTTACCTAAAATATTTACAGTCTGAAGCATTATAAGGATGATTGAAAAACTTTAAAAAATCTTTAGAAATTTTTTTCTTTTCTCATGTATTACATCCCCACTGCAGTCCCCCTCCCTCCTTCCCTCCCAGTCCCTCCCCACACCTCCCCTCTCCTCACAATCCACTCCTCCTCCACTTCCCTTGAGAAAAGGGCAGGCCTCCCAGGGGTTTCACCCAAACATGGCACGTGCAGTTGCAATAAGACAAGGCACCTCTCCTCACATTAAGGCTGGGCAAGGTAACCCAGAAGGAGGGAAAGGGTCCTAGAAGCAGGCAAAAGAGAGACAACCCCCATTCCCACTGTTAGGAGTCCCACAAGAAGACCACGCTACACAACCATAACATATGCAGGGGGCCTAGGTCAGTCCCATTCAGGCTCTCTGGTTGTCAGTTCAGTCTCTGTGAGCCCTATGAGCCCAGGTTAGTTGATTCTGTGGGTTTTCTTGAGGTGTCCTTGACCCCTCTGGATTCTACAATCCTTCCTCTCCCTCTTCCTCAGGATACCCCAAGCTCCGCCTACGTTTGGCTGTGGGTCTGCATCTGTTCCCATCAGTTGCTGAATGAAGCCTCTCTGATGATGATATTGTGCTAGGCTCCCGTCTATGCATATAGTGGAATATCATTAGGAATCATTTCATTGACTTCATTTTTTTCTTTTTTCTTTTGCCAGTCGTGTTTGGTTCTCTCCTAGGTCTCTGGGCTCTCCAGCCTCTGGGTCCTGGCCCTCCAGGCAGTGTTGGAGGTGGGCTTCCTCCTGTGGCATGGGCCTCAAGCTGGACCATTCTTTGGTTGGCCACTCCCACAATTTATATGCCACCTTAACTCCAGCACATGTTACAGGCAGAACAAATTATAGGTCAAAGGTTTTGTGCCTGTGTTGGGGTCCCAATTCCTCCGCTTAAAGTCTTGCCTGGTTACAGGAGATGGCTAATTCAGGCTCTGTATCCCCCATTACTAGGAGTCTTAGCTAGGGTCATCATGATAGATTCCTGGGAATTTCCATTGCACTAGGTTTCTACCTCATCCCTGAGATGTCCCCCAATTCCAGTTGTCTCTCCCTCCATCCTCCCCACACCTAATCCATCCTGTTTCTATCCCTACCTGCCTTCAGTCTACGCATGAAGTCTTTCCTATTCCCCTTTCTCAGGGAGATCAATGTGTTCCCCTTGAGCCCTCCTCGTTACTTAGCCTCTCTGGGTCTGTGGATTGTAGCATGATTAAGCTTACTTTTAAGCTAATACCTACTTATAAGTCAGTATACACCATGTTTGTCTTTCTGGGGATGAGTTACTCCACTCAGAATGATTTTTTTCTAGGTCCATCCATTTGCCTACAAATTTCATGATGTTATTTTTTAAAGATCTGAGTAATACTCCATTGTGTAAATGCACCGCATTTTCTTAATCCATTCTTCAGTTGAGGGATATCTAGGTTGTTTCCACATTCTGGCTATTACAAATAAAGGTGCTATGAACATAGTTGAGCAAGTGTCTTTGTGGTATGATACAGTATCCTTTAGGTATATGCCCAGGAGTGGTTGGTATAGGTGGGCCTTGAGGTAGATAGATTCCCAATTTTCTGAGGAGCCACCCTATGATTTCTAAAGTGACTGTACAGGTTTGCACTTCCACTAACAGTAGAGGAGTGTTCCCCTTGCTCCATATCTTCTCCAGTATAAGCTGTTACTTGTGTTATTGATCTTAGTCATTCTGATAGGTGTAAAATGGAATCTCAGAGTCCTTTTGATTTGCATTTACCTGATTGCTTAGGATGTTGAACATTTCTTTTTTAAATTTTTTTATTAAGATATTTTTTATTCATTTTACCTACCAACCACAGATCCCCCTTTCATCCCTCCTCTCGATCCCCCTCAGCCCTCCCCACAACTCATCCCCCATGCTCTCCTCCAAAAAGGTAAGGCCTCCCATGGGGAGTCAGCAAAGCCTGCTGCATTCAGTTGAGGCAGGTCCAACCCCTTCTCCTGCATCAAGTTTGTGTAAGGTGTCCCGTCATAAATAATGGGTTCCAAAAAAGCCAGTTCATGCACTAGGGATAGATTCTGATTCTAATGCCAGGGGCCCCCTTAAGCAGACCAAGCTACACAACTGTTTCACTTATGTAGAGGACCTAGTCCAGTCCCATGGAGGCTCCACAGCTGTTGATTTA